TCTATAATATCAATTGAAGGACAATATTCTTCAGAATTAATTATATTTTTGACTGAATTCTCTACTTCTAATATTTCCATTGATGATAACATTCTTAATTTTCTATATTTGGGGCATAAAAATGTCGCTATTTTATGCAAAATATTGATTTTAAATTTAGATAATAAAAAATTTTTTAAATTGGTTTTTATTTCTTTTATTTCATTGTTTTGATAAAATGAATCATTTAAATCCTCGTGAAGAATATTATTAAAGCATAGCAGTACTTTATGTAAAGTAGGATTAATATCTCCTTCTAGTTCTTTAGTAGCTTTATCAAAAGGATATAAAATATCAATCAAATTTTTCAAAATAGATTTCTCCAAGTTTTCCATTTTATTAATATCTCCCTTGGATGATAAAAATTTACGATGTCATCATATTGGTTATAAATAGATTTCAACATATTTAATTTTGAATTCCATCTAGTTTCGATATCTTGTTGTAATGTTTTGTCTAAATATTGATTCATGCCGGTTTGTTTAAAATACATGGTTAATTTTTTAACAGAAATAAGGGTTTGATATATATTAGGAGCGATAATTTTCAAAGATTGTTCCTTAAAGGTATTTCGATGAACAGTATTTAATAAATGTGCGCTGCAATTTAATCTGGTGTATTTTTCTAGGGCTTTAATTATATTAGCTCCTTGATCAGATATAAATATTATATTTTTCACTTGATCGGGAATTATTCCAATTGCAGCAAAATTTTGTAGCATTTCCTTATGTATGTTCGTGGCGGTTTTTTCGCTTCTTTAAACTTATTCGTAAATAAAACATGTTTATATGAGGTTTCACCTTCGATATAATGAATTGAAACAGTTAAATAGGAAAACTTTTTAAAAGAATCTGTCCACATGTCTGTTGTAGCAGAGCATTTTTTATCAAATAATTGAACATTTATTTTATTAACCAAATTTGTTCTAATTTGATCCGTCATAACTATAGCATTTCTCGATAAAGTAGTTGGATGGGGAATAATTTCGCTACAGTCAATATTACCGTAAATGGAGCCAATTTGAATAAAATTTTGAGCCATTTTTATAAAGCCATCTCCAGTTATCGAATCAAAGGCACGCATGTCCTTGGCGCAATAATAGATCAAGGTATCACATAGTTTCTTTTTAATAGTTAAGGAAGAATTTAGATCTATTTTCTTTTGAATATACCTAGTTATTTTAGGAATAGAGGAATCGTCATTCTTAACGCACTTGTGACGTCTTAAATGAGAATTTCCAGATGTGCTTTTATATTGTAATATACTATTACATTTTTTACATTGGACGTAATCAAGTTTTTTGTTTTTATCATCAAATATGTCTTCAAAATTTTCCCATATATTGCTTTTACCTAAATGGGGCATACAAATATATGTTCCATTTTGTATTTGTTTTTTTAAAAAAATTAAATTCATTTTTATATTTAAAATTTAAGTTTTATAAAAAAACATTTAAATTATTTTACCCATAATAAAATATATATGACATATGGCGTCTACTTTCTAAATAAATAAAATTAAATATTTATATTTTACAAATAAAAAATGTTGCCGCCTTGTTTCTTAAAAAAAAGTTTAATTATATATTTATACCAAGAATAAAAGATACATGTCATCATATGGTGTCTAGCTTCTTCAAATAAAATTAAATATTTTTATTTTACAAAAAATATTAGTGCCAATATTAAAAAATTTTTTAAGGCCCGGCCCGAATTTTTTTAAAAAATATTAGGCCCAACCCGAACCCTAATTTTTTTTTTAAAGTAGGCCCGAACCCGGCCCGAAGCCCGTACGGGCCGGGCCTACTTTTGCAGATCTCTAGTTCAAATATTTGCCGTGGTACATATATAGGATATATCTAACAACTCTTCTATTAGAGCATCTTTCATCACTTCAAAGTTATCTGCTATCTTAATCATTAGTGTCTTAAAATTGTTGTATCAGGGGATTTAAAACATCATGATAAATAATTAATTATCACCCAAGGACATTGGCTGAGCTGTATCAATTGACAATTACTTTATCAGTCAGTATCTGAGAAATATTGGCAAGTATTATTAATCAATTTAGCTAGAATTGAATTGGTCTTTTTGGATGTAGTCCCCTATGTTAAAATTTTTATCTCTTTAAAACTGTTGGCATGAACTTTCTTATAAAATAAATATGATTAGAATTTAAAAATGACAATTACCTTTAGTTTTTTATAGCTACTAGATTTATTTGAGGATATATTTTTTTTACATTTTTAACTAATAAATTTGTATCCTCCTTTTGTTTCTACATTAATTTGAAAATATTTTTCAAATTTTGAAATGGAAATGTATTATATTATTGTTATCAAGAACATTTTCTTCCAGGGTACCTTCCAATTCATTAATATTATAATTGTCTGACTAACTTATATCGATTTGGATATCCATTTGCAATAACATTTTAAATAATTTACACCAGATGATTTAGGTTTATGATACGAATTGAAAATATAAATTTCAATTTCAAAATTAAATAATAAATCATAAAAATTATAATTAATTATGATATTATATTAAAATTTTTATGTTTATAGTTATATTCATTATATTTTGAAAAGTAGTTGAGTAGCGCGCTATTTAATTACTTTCAAAAAAAGGAGCGCGCTAAAAAAATTAACAATTGGAAAAAAAGTAGCACGCCATTAGCTATCGCTACCAAAAAAGATAGTGAGCTTGGAAGTTGTTGCCTTTCTTTAATAAGTCATACCGCGATTGTTAAAAATTTTTTATAAATCGATGATAGAAATTCATAAGTCCTAATAGTGACTGCATTTCATTCTGACTCAGGAATTGGAGCACATTTTATCCCTTCTTGTTTCTCTTCTGAGGCATAAGACATTTGCTGGATATGACATGTCTTAGGTTTTTTACTTTTTTTTAAAGAAATTTGCTCTTTTCCGAAGAACCTGTAATTATTAGATCATTTATATAATATGCTACTCCTGTCATTTTCCCCGAATTAGGTCCATGGTCCTTTGGAATATCGCTGACGCCGGAATTATTTCGAATAGCATTCTTTTAAATTTTTTGTTAAATATTTTTTGTATTCTGAATAGAGTATATGCCCAGTGTCATCCATGGATTTGTCGTTATTTTATAGACTATACAAAGTCTGATATTCCATTGGGCTTAACTATTGGTTAGAGGACTGGCCCATTCCGAAAATTTTATGGTTCTATTATTCTTAACCCACAAAATATATATTATTAGTCCCTGCTATTATCGATTCTTACTAATTCTCTGAATTCATTTATCCAGTTCAACGATGATCCATCAGCTTTCACCACAATCACGGGTAGGTATTTTAGTTACTTTTATTTGTATTTTTACGTCCACACTGCCTATGATGGCAATATCGGTACCTTCATACGTCTTTAATTTTATATCCGAATAATGAATCATTTTATCGGAGTTTATTTTATTCCATATCTTTAATGAAATAATTGATACCAATGCTCCTTATCTTAGATCATGTTTATTTTTTTTCCTCTATGTTTAGATTAACTTTGAATTTTTATTTACAAGATTTGATATCCAATATATACGATATATTTTCCTCTTTGCCTCTTTGATCGCAAGATTTAATTAGATGTTTATCACTACCGCTTTGAAGCAAGTTTTTTCGTCTGACTGTAATATTGTTGTAATCTTCCCTTGTCTTATCGTAGAATATTGATACTTTTGTGGTAATAATTGTCGTCATATCAATTATTATGTCGGTAATATTTGTTATCATTATTATTATATTTGTACTGCGGGTTTATTATGTCTTCCATAATTCGAGTTGTCATATTTATTATATCTAGTAAATCTGTTATCTAATCTCGTTTGGTGGGGATAATTGTCACTATAGCCTTCCTGAACTTTGCTATTATTATTACTATTATGTTTTTTATTGTCTTATATAGTTTATTTCACTATTTTCTATTTTGTTTTAATCTCGTTCCTTTCTGGCTTGACAATAAAATATACCTTTTGCTTTTTCCTTTTCGTCTATCAAGTCTATGGTTCAAAGAATCAATATCCTCTATTCCCAAATCTTCTTCTAGTAATAACTTTGTTTTGATCTCATTGCCTTCTAATCCATTATTTATCTGCATTTTTAATTTTCCTCATATTTTTCTTTAAAATTACATTTTAGCGCTAACGCCTTTAGTGAATTTAAAAATTATCGGACGTTTAACGAATTGGAAACTTTCCAAAAGTGCTATTTTTTTTCTCGTTGGCTATTAAAGAATCTAAAATATCGTCATATTTTATTTTATTTATGGACTTATAGCGAATTTTAAAATAACTTTATTTAAGTCATACGTTGCTAATGCCTAAATGAGTGCTGCCCGTTTTTTTCATTATTCGATATATCGTTTAATATGAAGTATGCCTCCAATTTGATACAAAATATTGTAAATGAATCTGTTTTCCTTAATAGGAATCGATGTTGGCATTTTAGATAAAGAATTTAAATATTTTTTTTTTCAATTGTCAGTTTTCCCAGGTTTATTTCTTTGTCGCCAATGTTAAATATTGCTTTTTACACATAAATTCTATAACTTTATTTCCACATTTTTAAACATCACGTAATCCAAAATCAGAATAATTATTTCGTCTTTTAAAATAATTTTTGATCCTCTCAATTCTTAGTAAAAAAATATTAATATAATAAATCGATTTTCCTAAAGTAATTATAATTTCTTATAATATAACTATCGATTAATTCCGAGAAAATATAAAAAAGTCGCTATTAAAATATATAATAAATATCTTTATCGACATAAAATCGATAAATTGAAAAATAATATTCTTCAACAAAATAAAATATGAAAAATAATATTCTTCAACAAAATAAAATATAAAAATTGATATTCTTCCCAAAAAATAAATAAATGAAAAATTCAATATTTATCAGGATAATATTTTTGTTATTTATAGCCGCAAATAAAGAAATCGACACATACGTGAAATACGAATTTCCATTTCCTAATGTAAAATTATAATAATCATAGACTTTAATTTTAAATACCTTTGACACTTTTATTTGCAGACTAGTCCTCAAAGAGATAAAACTGATGTGATTTATGGCACGAATAATCCCGGTAATTTCAAGCATGTTATCATAATTGTCAAGATAATAAACAAAAGTTGTTTAGACATAAAATTTTAATCAAATTATTATTATAGATTATAATTTTTTTTTAAGTTATATATGTTAAATACTCTTTTTATTATTTTTTTTATCAGAATATAATCAAACCTTCAAATTAAATATCGATAGAAAATCTAGAGCTTTAGCAAGGGCTTTCAAAAGACAAAGTTTAAAATTAGAAGTATATATCAAGGGGTAAAAAAATTCATCAAATTTTTTATCCTAAATTCTAAACTAATTTTAAAAATAAATATTTGCATAATCATAAAGTGGATTAATGCGATTCATTAATGGAGATAGATTATTGGGCATAGTTAACGTGAAGTTGTTTCCTTTTGAAAACGAAACTTGTACGATTCACGAATGTGCTAGCTTGATGAACAATAGAAAAGAAGCGGGTGGCAAACTTGAAATTATGCTTAAAATTAGAGATCCCCTTCACAGAAAGGATATCGAAGAAACCAAGCATGATTGGCTCTACATATTATAAATATTTAAAAACTTTTTATAGATTATATACATAATGAAGAAGCGATGTATTATATAAATATTAATCACGGGAAAGATTCCGGATATATAATGATTTATTATATCGAGTCATTTTTATTCGACCAATCTTTAAATAATATACTTGCAATAGTTTGATTATACTATCTAGAGCCTGCAATAAATTATTATGTTATTTATGCTATAGATTGATTCTAATGCCTGCAATAAATTATTATGTTATTTATGCTATAGATTGATTCTAATTTATTATAATACTTTTTAAATATCGATCGTTAAAGAGAAGATTGAATATAATTAAAATTATTTTTTGTGACTTCAATTTTTGTGGTAGATAAATATTATTCTTTCTAGTATAAATTTTTTATTCTTTAAACTATAAAATAAGAACCAGAGTGATATGATGAAAACAATGATTTTATATATTATTGTCGCACCACCTCTAGTTGTATAATATACCAACTAGATGTGGTGATAATAGTTGTTTGTAATAATATCAAAATATACTCATATTAAAAATTTAAATCAAAACTGTTTTTTAAGAAGAAAAAAATAGCTTTCAAAACACATAAAAGAGAGAAGATTAGATATCTAATTTATTACATCCATTGTAAGATGATTAATAAGATGTTTAAATATAAATAATTTTGAATAAATAGATGGCGTTAAATATTTGAATGTAAATTGTTGCTAATATATTATTAAAAGCATGTATTAGTAAAATTTATTAAAATATTAACTTAATATATTATATAACTGTCATATACGTCTGTAAAGGTGGTATTTTACCTAATATTTTATAACCACATATAATAGAGGATTATAAACTATAAATCTACCTACTTTTTAAAAAGAAATGTCTTATACTTATCTGGACCTTAATAATATTTTTAGGAAGAGGCATGGTAATAAAATTAAAAAATAAATAATATAGTTGATTAGTAATTTTAAACTCGGCTAATTACAATATTTAATTTGTTAATTTTCAATTAATCAATGATTATATTTATTTAATTATATTTATATTATAATTTAAATAATAAAAGTCAATTAGGCTTCAACTGAATGCTAAATTAATATTTAGTGAGTGATATTGATATTTTATTTTTAATACAGAACTTGATTGCAAGCTAACATAGTGAAAATATAATGTATATGTATTAATCTAATCTAGTAATTAAAATAGTATTCATTTAATAAAAATTTAGTCTTATTAATTTTTAAATAATCAAATAGTCTTATTAATTTTTAAATAATAATATTAAATCGATATATTACTTAATAGACAGGGAGCAAAAAATTTATTTTTACTTCAAGGGGATATTAAGGAGCCATTAAAAAAAAATTTTTTGTTTCAGGGGCTATTCAAATTTTTTAGGGGGCTCGAGCCCTGTGCGCTCCCTCCTAGTGACGCCATTGAGTAATATCAAAGGAGAAAACCGTTTAAATGTAGCTCTATTAAATATTTATAATAAGATTATTCTAGATAAAAATTTGATTCTAGATGAATTAGCCAAATCTCATAGAAGAGTAGAGCCGTCTTTATAAATTTAAATCACAAAATTGCGATATTATTATAATATGTTCTAAGTAAAATTTTTATACGCAAAACTTAATTAAAATAAATTCTTAGTCATAATCTTTATATATTTTTTTATATTATACTATTTTTAATAAAAGTATTCCATTTGCAATAAGAATTATTTATATTTTGATAATACAGTCAAAACCGTTTAATTGCATATCGCTTAAGTGCAAACACTTTTAAATGCGAAAAAACCCCGCGATTTTGATAAAAATTACTATGACATAATGTTAAATTACATTTATAATTGCGAATTGGTTAATGGCAAAATATCGGTTAATTGCGAAATTTTTCAGGTCCCATTTATATGACAATAACGTTAATTTAATCGGATAAGTGAAAAAAAAAAAAAATTATCAAAAAATTTTTTTTACAAGAACTGCACCTTTAGCTTTTTTTAATACAAAAATGATAATTTTATTATATATTATAATCATGTTTAAATTATTTTTAGAGTAAAACATCATTCCATACATCGACAATTTATAGATTGGAAGCTAATAAACCAACTATATCCTCGCAATTTCTAAAGAATAAGCCGCCTGCAACTAAAAGAGTTCGAATGAGTTGTTACCCAAAGACAGAAGCAGCTTTATTAGTTTGGGCTTGCTCAAATGCGAAGTAAAAATTGCAGTTTAAATGGGCCAGTGATGTTAGAAAAAGTTATGTTTTTTAGCCAAACATTCAATGAAGATAATTATATATATAATATGATTATATATTATAGGCATTCCTACTAGCAGCTGGTTGCGGAGATTTAGGAAAAGACGAATATAAATTTTCATAATGTTTGCAATGAAAAAGGGAGTGCATATATTATTAATGCAAATAATGGAACAGAAATATACTTCCATCTCTGATTAAAGATTATCAGAGGTGTAATATTGGGACCAAGATTCACTAAAAAATCTAGAAAATATAGTAGATAAAGAATTATTTACACTAGAGTCTATCCAAAACTCTTATCACAAAATATTTTTATTAAATCTTACATTATTTTATATTTGTGATGCATGTATGTATAATAAAATAAGTTCAAATAATATATTATATTAATAAAGCATTAATAAACTTTCATTCTTAGATATAAGTTCATTTTAAAAAGATTAGATAATATAGAAGTTAATTAAAGTTCTGAAATGGCGAAGTAAATCTATAGATCTTATAATTTAATCTAAAAAAACAAGATATTTATGGATATACCTTTTTTGTATAGTCAAAGATTTCAAATAAAATATGTGAATTAAAATATGACACTTTTAATAAACTTAAATTTTCAAGCCTAACCTGTTTTTTATTTATTTTTTAATTACTTATCATTTAAAATTAAGTTATGTAAATTAAAATAAGCACCATCTCGTCAATTTATAAATTTGTAAAAATACTTAGTTTAAAGATTTTTATTTTTCTGGATTGCTCTATGATAAAAATTGTAAATATCATTATTGGTTATATTATTAAAAACTTTTTAAATAAAAATTGCAAATTAAAAAACCAGCAAAAAAATGTTTTGCTTTACTAAAATAAATGTAATTTTAAGTTTGGGACAGAACAATTAGAATTGAAATAAATGTGATATTGTTGAGTTTAAAAAAAATTAGGGCAGGCTGGTTTTTTCAATAAGATAAAATTCAAAATTTATTACAAACCTGTCTTTATTTTATTGGCATATATATATACGATTAATTTATATAAATTTGTTATATTTTTCTAATTCAATTTTTTATGAATTTGAATTGCTTGTAGAAGTGACATTTATAAGCATAGGTTTGCAAGAAAAATTATTACGCGGGCAATTAAAACATATGCCAATGACATATAATAATACCTAGACTGACGATTCATTCATTAAGATGCATTTTTAAGCGTCGTTAAAAGCAAATCAGCTGGACCCGCCATTTTGGTAACCTTTATAATAATTATTTTCATGTTAAAAACTAATATTAAATTGATAACTTACTTTCTTATTATCTCGATGAACAGGCAATTCTTTAATAAAGTTTGCATCAGATATAATATAAAATTAGGCTCTCGTTTAAAATTTTAATATTTATTACAGTAACCAAGATGGCGTCTCTAGCTGATTTGTATTGATGTACACTTTTAATGAATGAATCGTCAGTCTAGGTATTATTATATGTCATTGACATATGCTACTTATTAAATATATTTTAAAAAATGATTTTTTTATTCATTTTATAATTATTTAAATTTAAATATATAGTTTGTACATTAATTAAAAAAATGTATTTATTACAAAGTTTGATAGTTTATATGCTTAAAATATATATAGATGATAAATATTTGCATAAAAAACACAAACTGATTTTTAATAAATAAATTATTGATTTTTAATCGTATAATTGCGAAATATCGGATAATCAAAATTTTTAACTATTTTGGTCACAAGCTTTCGCAATTAAACGGTTTTGACTATAGTCATTTGTCAATTATATTTTTTTAACATCGTTATTTGCAACAAGAATAACTTATATTTTATAATAATTATATTTCTTTAATATCATTATTTGCAACAAGAATTACTTATATTTTATTGTAATTAATAATATTATTTTTTTAAAGTACAGTTGTCTATAATATATTTTAAATATAATAATCTGTATAAATTCTACATTTTGTAATTTTTTTATTGTATCATTAAAATAAATAAATAGTTAGATAAAGGGATGTTATTTATACTAAAGTATTTTAATAAGAAATTCTCTGTAAAATTTTGCTATATGCTATAAAATAGTTATTTTTAACATAGAATAAGGCATATTGAGGGATACATAAAATGGGTGGTTTGGGGGGCAATTTTTTTTTTTCACCATCAAATGGATTGGATGAATTTACAATTGAACACTAAACATGATAATATTTTCAGAATAATGCTTTCAGTTGTTTAATAATCATAAATTTGGCCAAAATTTTGTTTGCTGGTTACAATATTGGTTAGACATTAATACAGCACAAAATATTGGCAAATTGAAAATTAGTATTTCTAATGGTTCATCTAACTTAAACAATGATCTCATAATAATAACTATTAAAAAATTAATATGATATAGTATTTTTTAAGGGACCCGATCAAAGCCTGGAGAAAATGGAGTTTAAAATTTTTTTTAAACCTCATTCAATAATAAATCCTGGCTACGCCATTGTCAGAGTTCGCGCTATCTTTTTTGGTAGCTATTGCTAATAGCCTTAAAATTATTTAATTTTTTAGCGCGCTACTTTTTTTAAAAGTAGCTAAGTAGCGCGCTACTTCGCTACTTTTAAAAAATATAAGGAATGTAAGTAAACATGAAAATTTAAATATAATATCATAATTAATTATAATTTTTATAATTTATTATTTAATTTTGAAATTTAAATATATTTTCAATTTATATTTTCAATCTGTGTTAATAATCTAAAATGGCATCGCCCATGGATATCCAAATCCTTGAAAGTGATTCAGACATGGAAGATTCAATGGAAGAAAATGTACTTAATAGCTCTAATAACGATTTCCCATTCCCTAGATTTGAAAAATTTTTTAAAATAAATATTAAAACAAAATCTGGATTCAAATTCTTGTGCTTAAAATGTAAAAAAAATATATTATCAAATCAATCGAGTAGCTAAAACATGAAGAAACACCTAAAGGTAAATTGTTATTTTTACATTATAATATTATTTATTTTATTAGACTGTTCACGCCAATTGCTATAAGGTAATAGAGAAACATATAAAAAATTTTGGTATAAGAGAATCTTCATTCAAAAAGACAAATACTATCCAAATCAAATTAACTGATAATAAACATGCCAATATTTCACAAAAATTGGCTGATAAAGTAATTGTTGATTTTATTATTGACACAGTTCAGCCATTGTCCTTGGTTGATAATCCATCATTTACTATGATGATTAAAACTTTATCCCCTGGCACAACAGTTTTATGTCGCCAGACACTTATGAATAAAATAGCCGACAACTTCAAAGCGATGAAAGTTGCACTAATAGTAGAGTTATCAGATATATCTTATGTATGTACATCCGCAGATAGTTGGACACATAACAGAAGGTAAAAACTTATTTATATTTATAAATTGATCTGATTAAATATTTTTAGAGCTTCCTTGCCCTCAAGTGCTAGTGTCGAGAGATTATTTAACAAAGCTTATACTTTCTGATCGTCGCTCTAGACTTGGGGATGATATTATTGAAATGATATTATTATTAAAATGCAACAAATTAAAATAAATATTTATTTATACTGCTTATTTTTTTATAATTTAAACTAACTATATTTTTATATTTATAAATGTTGATTTTTATATATTATTTATTATACATTTACATTATAAGCAAAAAAAAATAAAAAAAATTTGTTTCATTTGTTTCTAAAAAATTTTTTATAAAAAGTAGCTTAAAAGTAGCTAAGCTACTTTTGAAAAAAAGTAGCTAATAGCGCGCTACTTTTTTTGACAAATAGCGAAAGGGGTAGCGCGCTACTTTTTTTTGACAAATAGCTATAGCGGTAGCGCGCTACTTTTAAAAATAGCGTTTAACAACTCTGGCCATTGTAACCTAATATTTCTGAAAAATACTTATTAATAAAAAATAAATTTAGATATTGTCAAAACTTAATTAAACGCTTCTTTGAATTTTATATTAATATTCTATTTATTCTTCCTCAAGGTTAGATGAGTACGAAAGCAGACGAAAAAATTACACTAATTTTCAGATTGTATACTTATTAAGCTAATAATGGATTCAAATCATTTATCCATCAGCCTGCTAAACGCTCGAGATTTAAAATGCGCAAACCTATCTGAATATTATTTATGACATAAGAATATAGTTGAATTTTTAATTAATTTATCATTAAATATGACGGCACATGCTCAAAAAGATAAAGATCAAACTGAAAGTCAGAAGGAGGAAGACACATATGGTCCTCAATTGATAAAAAAATTGGAAGTTTTAAGAATAATTATTTAAAGTAAATATTTAATAAAATTTATAGGCTTTTGGTATTTCTTCTGGGGATATAAAGAAATTAGAAGAGTCTGGGTTTTATACTATCGAATCGATTGCATTTGCTCCTAAAAAACAAATTTTAACAATCAAGGGTATAAGTGAAGCTAAAGCAGATAAAATATTAGTATTATTAATAAATTAATTAAGTTGCTATCAAATATTTAAGCTAGAAGCATCAAAATTAGTCCCTATGGGATTTACAACAGCCACTGAATTTCATCAAAAAAGATCTGAATTAATTCAAATTACCACTGGCTCAAAAGAATTAGACAAACTTTTACAAGGTACAAATTCTTAATTAACTGTAGATCTACTTTGTAATTAGGTGGTATTGAAACTGGTTCTATAACAGAAATATTTGGAGAATTTCGAACAGGTAAAACCCAATTATGCCATACATTATCTGTAACATGCCAGGTATATATTTAAATTATTCATTAGCTAATCATTTATTAAGTTACCAATTGATATGCAAGGAGGTGAAGGAAAGAGCTTATACATTGATACTGAAGGAACATTTAGGCCAGAGAGATTATTAGCTACAGCTGAAAAGTAAGGAGTGGTTTTATAGTTATTGAATATAAAATAAATAATTTTTTATCTTATATAATTCCCTACAGGCTTCAATTTATTTAAACTTTGATTCCATTCCAATAAATTTAAATAATATCAAAAAACCAGCTAAAAAATAATATGATATCATTTAAACATTAACCCACTTTTTTAATTAATACCAGAGATGTACTGATACCTTGATATTGGTATTAGCTAGTACCTTCAATTTAAACTGATACCAGCAATTATCAAAAATAATGGGTATGACTAAAATACATGCCCCCCTACGTGCACCCTATGAAAGATGCTTAATTTAAATTATATTATTTTAGAATCATATTTAGCTTTATAAGATAAGGCAAAAAATGTTTTTTTTTCATTTTTTAAAAAAATGATAATAGTAAAATTTTAAAAAAATTATTTTTTTACATGACTAAAATATGTGCCCCTACGCGCTCCCTATCAAAGAAGCTTAATTAATAAAAAATGAACGCAGAATCATATAGAGCTTATTAAAAGGTAAAAATGTTATTATATTTTAAAACTTATTATAACCTAGTGGGCATTTGAAAAAACAAAAAAAATTTTTTGACATAACTACACGCCCTTATGTGCCCCCTATCAAAGAAGCTAAATTTATAAAAAATTAAAGCATAATTGTATTAAGCTCATTAAAAGGAATCTAAAAATGTTAATATTAAGTTTATAAATTATTTATAACTTATTGAGATTTGGAAAAAACACTTAATTTCTAAAGGAGAAATTCTGTTTCCCAATTCTTGAAGGGCAAAAAATGAAATGGAAAATAAAATAATAGGTGCAACATAATTGTGTACGATTCATTTCTGGTTTATAATTGAAAGCTTCATTCATGATATTTTAGATCTATATAATTTAGTTAAATTATTTTACCTCTATTGCGATTAGTTTATTTGCCAAAATTGGTAAAATATTTATCCCTTTGACTTATAACATTTACATTCTGCCTTTAAAATTTTTGTATCTTGTTCCTATATACTCAGCCCAGACATAAAAGAAATATATTATCTGAAAGATCACAATTTTAATTTTTCAAAAAATTTAGAATTTAGAACGATTATTTCATTTATTATAATCAAAATTCTTGAGTTATGTAAGTTTTTAGATTTATATTTATTAGAATGTGGAAATAAATTTATTATGTAGAATAAACTTACAAAAAAATAAATTATTACTACAAGCTTCATAAAAATTGAAAGGCATTTTTATGCTGTAGATTATACAAATCAAAAAAATATTTGTGTAGAAATGGGTACTAGGAGAAATCTTATGATATTATTTAAATTTTTTTGGATTCTCTCTTTAATATATGAAATTTATTAAATTAGATATAAAAAAAGACATAAGGGGAAAAATTAGCAGCTCCTTTCTTTCGAAATTTATAGATCAATTTAAAATAAAAAAGGTTTTTTTATGATGGTATTTATCAATTTTAGGTATTGGCCACCCATATCATAAAAATTGAAAAGTGTCAATTAATCTTTGATTTACTTCTTATATTTTTTTTTGCTTTTCTTGGAAAAAATTTACAAAATACAGTCAATATTATTTAAAAAATCTATATTTTAAAAACCTTGGCTAAACTTTAAAATGATAAAATTTAAAAAACTGAGAGCTGTTATAAAAATGAAAATCAATTTGCTAAAAAAATTCATGCTGGGCTAGAAAATTAAAACTAGACCAGATCTACAATGGGTACCTCTTCAGGTCTTTGATTTTTATAGCTAAATGATAAAAATTATTTTAGCTCTACTATCAACTATAAAAATATTGACAATATAAAAGTTATTTTTTAGATCATGAATTCAATTAAAAACCACCTCATTTACAATGATTCCATTATTATAGTATATATTTTGGCATGAATATGAGTTTACTGGGAATGTCTAACTCTCTTAAATGATAAAGTTTTATTTGTAAAGTAATATCTATGATTGTATGCAATATATAGATTTGGTCAATGATTATCAATATCATTATATTATATAGGTCTATAATAAAAGTATTTATTTTTATAGCAATATATTTTTCCCTATCCTTATTTATTTGCACCCCCCCCCCCAAGAAAATTGGATGCAAACTGTTCCTACCCCCCCCCCCCCCCATTTTCCTTCCACTCATGTAGGCTCTGGTTCTACCATGATCTCTTGGAAGAGGGAATTCCTAACCTGGGATTTCTCATGCATTAATCCCCTTGCCCCCTACAATATATAGGGATGCTCTACTGGACGCCGAGGCGAATAAACTCGTTAAATATTCGCCATGCACGGGCCACCAAAGCCAATGCTACTATTTAGATAAAGAATTCACAAATTTTCGCTTACTTAAATTATTAATATTATACATTTATAATTATAATCTTTATTTAAATTATGATTTGTGGTCGTATTTATTATAAATTGGCTATTTTGTCGAAATAAAGGAAATAATTTTTATATCTGGATAAGATTTTTGAGAATGTTTTGCCAAAGTAGATGGCTAAGTTGGATTTCGATTTAATCAATAGTTCTAAAACGCAATAATGTTAATATAAAAAGTGACATAAGTGTCATGGCATCAGACCGCCAAATTTTGCAGTAACTAAAGCCAAAACAATGCACATTTCAAAGCTGTTTTGTTGTAATAAATTACTTATTTTGCTTATAAAACAAGACTCATTGGAAAGTAAAATCTTTTGATAATATGCGTTATCCACACTAATAGGCAGCTTTAGCTCTTTCATATATATCAATTATAAGAGTTAACAATTCCTGGACTAAAGTTAATTATTACCTCTCTGAGATCATGCTTGGCGCAGGATCAGCTAATCAGCATATCCCTACCCTATATTCTATCGAAAAGGACATTGCATCTTCTTTAGATGGTGCTGATATTATATCATGTTTTCAAATAAAAGAAATGAGTGTGTAATTTACTTGTAAATATTAATATCCTTGCGGTATATTTATGGCTTGTTTTATAATTACTCAAACTCGTATTTGTAAGGCAACTATTTATATCATAATTTTTAGATGATCCTATATTTATGCTTTTTGTATTTTTTGTTTAAACAAAATATCAAATTTTAGATATAAGCTTAAGCAAAAGTTTTTAAAGAGTTAGTCAAAAATATTTGCATATTAGGCTACAAAAATCTAAGCATGACACTGATAAAGAGGTAATGAATGTTATATTTGTGATATTAATACAGGCTGTTCCCGAAATTATGGATGAAGAACTATTATGAGAACTCTTATATACCAATGATTTAATGTTGATACCAAATGTCACGCTGAAAAAGATAAGATGTAGTAATGGGTTTTCAAAAAACATAGGATTATAATGCCCTTACCTATATATTATGTTGAGTGCAAACAATTGTACTGACTTGGCCATGATATAAGACCCTCTAATCAATAAAGTATTTTAAGATAATAGAAAGGCAATGTTAGGAATTTCTTAGCGTAAGCAAATAGAAACTGGAAAGCCTAAATGAAACTGACGAAGTGTATGTGCAATATGCAATTGAGGGAGATCTGTGCAGAACAATAAACAGGATGTAAGAGTTTTAGGTTCTTATAATGAACGAGTGGAAAGATAAATGGGTCATCAAATACGAATGACACTAGCGAACCGTATTACCCTCAGGGATGCTCAGGATAGGGAAAGGGTTATGAGCAGGCAATCCACCATCCTTATCAGAGATAAACTAATATAACCTTTTCAACCGAAACAAAGCCGTTACCACGGATACTAACACTATTGGCTAATACCAAATATAAATAATGTAGTATAATTATATTTATTGAAAGAAGCATATATTTCATCCGATACTGTGAGTATCGGTGTATCTCTGCTTGTTGCGTGTTAAGGGCTACTAAACTTTTGTAGTATTTTTTTTAATAAGTGTTAGAATTTGTATAAAACTATATAAATTGGTTGAATCGTCATTTCATTTTTGTTAGTTTACGTAGACAGGTAGTCTAATACTTTATTTAAAATTTTTTAAAGGTATGGATTATCTGGTCAGGATGTGCTTGATAACGTGGCATATGCAAGAGCATATAACTCTGACCATCAAACTCAACTGTTGATTCAGGCTTCTGCTATGATGTCCGAATCAAGGTTATAATTTATAAAATAAATTTTTCTTGTTAAAAATAAATATTTTTAGTATTCAATTTTTTATAAATCATCCTATAATATAATATTTCATAGATGGGTTATTTGATGCCTTATATTAATTTCAAACTTGAGAATCAACATATTATTTAGACTTAATTTTTTTTAAATACACATATGATTATTTAAAAAATAAATATAAAAAACAGTCATTAATCGATAAAAATTTTATTATCACAAAGGTATGCGTTATTGATAATCGATAGTTCAACATCATTATACCGAACGGATTATTCTGGAAGAGGAGAATTATCCGCTAGACAGATGCACTTAGCTCGATTCCTCAGAATTTTATTAAGATTAGCTGACGAAGTCTATTTAATAAATTTTAAATAATTAGAATAACAAAAAATGAAGTTGATAATATTTATTTCGCAACATGGCGCATATAAAATTTTTAAATGATCAGGTTAGGGTTAAAAGGGTAGCCAGATATGGAGTATAGTTAATATAATTTTTTAAAAATGGTTTAATAAATTTGGTTATTTCGTAATTTATACCAAATTTAGTTGATTATAATGAATCTTTAATGTTTTGGTGAGTAATCCCGAACCTAACGTTTTTAATTATTTTATATTATTATAATTTAAAAAAATAAATGCCACCTTGCGGATTAAATTATGATATACATTTTCTTAATCTATATATTTTGCATATTATTAAATTAAAAAAAATTAAACGATCTATTAATAGACTAAATGAAACATAATAATTAATTATTACTAATTATATATCCAGTAATTTAATATTAAAGACCTGTTTATGATTCTTTTATAACATTTTAGTTTTGATAATTCTACAAATAATGCTTCTAACAATATAGGGCTATAAAGAAGTATTAAATTATTCAAAAGATGAGCAAAAATATTTATAAATATTCTTCATAAATTCCTCTTTTACTTTGGGCTGTGTTTTTTGGGATAGGTTCTAAATCGCTATAACAAAAATTGTAAGAAAATTGAGAATTTCGCTTATATATCCTAGAAAATTTTTAAAGCAATATTAAAAATAATATTAATATATACTAGGGAAGTTCCTAGAATAGGGAACTACTTTTGGGAATATTGATGATTTCCCATATTTTTAGCGATTTTTTAAGAAATTCAATTTAAATACAAGTGTTTAGTTTCCTTCCCTTCATCTATTAATATTAATTTCAAATTTTTTAAAAATTTTCTCTGAGTGAATCCCAATTTTATTTTTATATTTAGCGATTTAGAACAGTAACTTATTTTTTGTAAAATTTCATTGGCCCTCGATGATTTCTTTTCAATATTTTGGTATATGGATCTAGAATTCACTTCGATATCCAAGATATTAATATTTATGAACATTGAATTTGACAAATTATTTGCTCTTAAACTCGCTCTTAGGGGAAGACCCGTTTCAAACTAGGTGTATAATTGGATAAAGTATACATGCGGTTAGGGAATTTTCAATTTTTTTTATTATATCTTCATCGATATATTGTCAAACCCCAGGAATCGTTTTATATTTAATTAATTTGAATCTTTGCCATATTATTTTTATTTGCTTCTCTTTAAATCGCGCATAGGTTCTTAGTCCAATAATTTTATTTTTTAACAAAAAAAATAATTTTATTAAAATTTATTAAAGTTATTTTACTCTCGTTTTCAAAACTATTCATTTCAGGACTGAATGGTTCATTCTAGAGAAATTATAAATTGGTCTATTTTTAATCTTAATAGTTTCTAATTTTTTTTATTGGTATATTTTAAACAAAAATTTAATTTTTAAATCAAGCAACAACTGTAAATTTTCACCTAGATAATATTTAAATATTATTGTCAATATGTTCTTAATGATTTGATTTTTTAAAAATATCATTCAAATAAAAAATAGTTCATTGGCAAAAAGGATACCGAAAACTTGATAAAAAAAATATTGAAATTTATTATTTCTTTAAAAGTGGATTGATTAATCAGCAATTAGCAACTTTCCTATTTGAAAATTACAAATTCCTGTTTAAATATTTAAAAGATTTCAATAAAATTAGACTATTTATTGCCTGTAGTTAAATCAGCTCAATCCCTTCATGCCAGATGAGTCGCCTATTAAGATGAACTGTGCTGCCAAGCTCGTCTCCTATTTTTAGGCGGAAACGCGGCGTGTAAAATGATATAAAAAAAATATAAATTGTGTTAATATATGATAGATACATAATGCAATGTACCAACAGATCGAATTAATATGAAAACCTAAAATTAAATTGCCCTACCAGCATTGCATATTAATTATGCTAGAGAATATCCGTGGTGTCAACAAGAGTCCTATAAATAATCTTCTCCGTTTTATGGCGATTTCTAGGTTTACTCAGGTAGGCCAGTTTTCCCTCTTATTTATCTTTTCTATTTTTGACGGTCCTAAGCATCAATATTTGTAAGATTCATGCTTCTCATCTCCGCCGCTATCACATTTGTCCACGTCATCTTGGGCCTTCCTCTAGGTCTTGAACCTCCTACTTCCATCAAGGTGCATCTCTCTACCCAGTCATCTTTTGTCATACGTTCCACATGCCCAAACTATGTTAGTCTATTTCGTCGTATTACCACTCATATCATTTCTATACCCAATTTTGCTCGCAATTCCTTGCTAGTTTTTCTCTCTTAGAGATACCCCACTCCATTTAATCATCTTCATCTCTGTTCTTTCAAATTTGGCTTCGTGAGTCGCTTTCATTGCCCATGTTTCTCCGCCGTAAACTAAACAACTCCTCACACAGCTTGTAAACTTTCCCCTTTAACTTCAGAGAGACTTTTTTTATAAGTAAGAATAGACGACATCTCTCTGAACTTCTTCCATGCTTGTCTGACCCTTGCAACAACGGCAGAATCTACACCACCATCTGTGTTTAGCATATCACCCAAATAACAAAACTTATACACTAATAGTGATTTGCATCGGGCCTGATTTTTCAAGCCTCGGTTCGATCCCGAAGATTATTTTTATTTATCCACAAAAACCCTGTTCGAAATTAAAAGGAAATATTTGCGACCCAGTCCTTGTTTATTTATTTAAGTACATAAAAATGTAATATATTTTTCAGAGTTGTTAAAAGATACTTTTTAAATGGATCTAGATACAGATACATAGCCTAAAAATTTATCTAGATACAGATACAGCTTCTAAAAAGTTATCTAGATACAGATACAGCTTCTAAAAAGTTATCTACATACAGATACAATTTAAAATTTATCGAGATACAGATACATTTTTATTATACTCTTAGATAAGGTTTGAATAAACCTAAATTAGGATTCTATTGTGAAAATTCATGAAATGATCTAAAAATTTTATTGAATCGATATCACATTTATCCAAATATAACTAAAATAATGATTTTTAGATATTAATATAATATATGATTAATATAAATAATTATTATATATCATTAATAAAATAATATAATATATGGTTAAATAATTATAAATAATTATTAGATTTCAGTAATAAAATATTTTCAAAATTTTGGTTTAAGACACCCTCGTTTATTTGTAAAGACATTTTTAGCTATACTAAAAAGAAGGGATTGTGGTGTTATATTTAATGAATAACATTTTTATATCAGGATATTGTTTAAAAATACTAAAATCTCGGCATTCATTTTTGAAAAAACTATTTAAAATTTATTGATCACCAGAATTTAAATCATTAACAATCATATCTCCTGCTGTGGGATACTGAAAAAAATCGGATATTAAATTATTGGTTTTTTTCACAGGTTAATTTGCACTCATTTGAAGACTTTGATAATTCCTCAACTAATCTTTGTATTAATTGTTTTTTTTTATTAAAATTTTCATCCATTTGCAACCATGTCCAATCAGTTTAAAAAAAGGATGAAGCATAGTTGCCAAAATATTTTCATCTTCAAAAATTGTCCCAATAAACCTAGAATTATTAAATACTGATTAATTTATTATTAATTTACCTATCTTCAATTCCTTTAAGTAAGGCATTTAAGAGTGGTAAACAAAATTTCAGGTTCATTTGTTTAAAATTTTTCAATTTAATAATGAGCTGGGAAATATGTTTACCGGCGATAGCACTCCAACAATCTGCTGTTGTGCATATTAACGATGGTTCTATTAGACTTTTAATGATTTTTTTCTTTTCATTCTCCCATTTTTGGGAAATTCTAGCAACCACTGTCTGTCTGCAAATTATATTTTTTTGTGGAGCTAATGTTTTGATCATTTTTATAAATGATGAATTTACAACAATTGAAAATGGCTGAATACTATTTATAATAAAATCAGATATTAAATCATTTAAAATGGATTGGGTTAAAGTCTGAGGTCTCTTGAAAAAAAAATCAATGGACGATGAGCCTAGTCCAATATTTTCTTTAATAAATTTTTTCTCCTTCCCCCTTTTTATTTGGATATAGAGTGTTTGATGTTTTCTCTTAAAATTTAAAATTTAAATTGTAAACATTTATTTAGTATCTATCTATACCCTTAAATGTTTTATAATGTTGCATGAGGTAATGCTAACTGAAATTTTCATATTTTTTGGACTTGGCATACATTTTACTAACAGAGATTTGTTTTCTATTTTTGAGATATTATTTTAAAATATGGTCTATAAATTGGCCATGGAATGTCGTCATTTTTGTCATCAATATTAATCTTAAAAATTAATATAATAGAATAAAATAAAATACCAATTCCATTGCAATTAAAAATGGCAAATTCCTTGAGATGGATTGTAATATCAGAATTTGCTTGTTATTGATAACTCGGACATAATATTTAATTAATATTCTTTTTTATATATAAGTTTTAATATTTTACATATATATATATATATAATTTTTTAATATATATATTAATATTAATTTATATGCTCATATGAAATAAAATAAATTTTACACTCAAATATTTTTATTTATAATATAAAAAAGCGTTAAATAAAAGTATATCAAAATGTATTCTAAAAAAGTATCTAAAAACAGATACAGATACCTCTAAAATAATATCTAGATACAGATACTTTAATCAAAAATTTATCTAGATACAGATACCACATTTTTATATCTAGATACTTTAACAACTCTGATATTTTTAATTGTAAAAATTATATTCTACAAATGAAAAGTATTGGCGTCTTGTTTTCCTGCAAAAATTAAAATATTTATGTTTATTTCACTAAGTTGATATTATATTTTAAAAAAATAAAATATTAAACCCGACCCACCCTGGCCCAAATATATCAAGAAATTGAAATCGTGATTTATTTATATTTAAATCTTGATTTAAAATAAGCAATATAAAGTAAGAGAATATTTGTTCGTTTAATAATTAAGGCTATTTTGTAGGGTATTAAAATAATTTTTTAAAAAAAAATATTGATTGAGTTCAATTATATCTAAAATGAGAATCGAATTCATTAAATTTTTTATGTTTTATTAAAATATTTTTTTTTTAAATTATTATATTTGATGTAATGTAATTTCATATAATTTATAATGTAATATAAAAATATCAACAATGGCAAAATATTTATTATAATAAATGATGTATAATATAACAGGGAAGGGAGAGTTTTGCCTTTCTTTCTTTCTTTCTTTCTTTCTTTCTTTCTTTCTTTCTTTCTTTCTTCTCTTTCTTTCTTTCTTTCTTCGAGGGACTCGTTTTTAACCTCCGTCCTTATTGAAATTTTCTTACCCATTTGATTTAAAAATTTTAGAGATTGGTGGGGTTCCCCAAAACAGAAGAAAGTGGGATAAAAATAAAAGAATTTAAGTGGCACCTATATTTGTTGCATTTTTTAATTTATATTAGCTAATTTAATAAATAATGAATCATGACAAATTTTTATATCAGAATTAATATCATATCAATTTTGATAAAGTATAATTTGAGATTTCATCAATTCAAAGTTCTGTTTTTATTTATAGATAACATTATAAATAAAGTGAACCTACTTAAATGATGGTTTTCACATATAATTTTTTTAAAAAAATGATTATATGATAAAAAAAACATCTTTATTTATTTTCAAAAAATATAAAAGTTTGGAGTAGCAGTAGTAATAACAAATCAAGTGGTAGCCCAAGTTGACGGAGCTTCACTTTTTTGCGCGGATCCCAAAAAACCTGTAGGTGGCAATATAATGGCGCATGCTTCCACTACTAGGTATGATATAATATTGCTATATTTTTAAATCTTGTTTTATATTACAAAAAAACATTAAGACTTCTTTTACAGAAAATATATTTGCCCATATAATGTCTAGACAGAAAATTATTTATTACCTTTACTTTCGTAAATATGAGCAAAATATGTAAGCTTAGGTAATATTTTTTAGTAAAATCTTTAGTTAACCGTTTTTTTTTAAATGGACGCGAGCCGTTTAATAGCACTACGCGTCAGTAGTTTCATTAAAACTATCTTGGAATATATCTTTTAGGGCATAAGTTTTTAATATATAAAAGTATGAGTGACCCCATCGAAATTTTTTTATCACTCCCTATTTTATATTATATACAAGAGACTCTAGTTCACGACTAGTTTAAGAATATTCAAGTCAGTTTTGGGTCGTTTTTTTTGTCACAAAACTTGGTTTCAGTTTCAGACAAGTCGACTAGATTTAGTTTACTAACTTTTAGTTTTTGGGTAAAATTATGATAATACGCATAGAATAATTTATTATTCGTAGAATCGAAAACTATACATCAGAGATGCACCGATACCAGTATGGTATCATACCAATTTTTTTAAAATGAAATATTTTTTTTTTAAATAATAGTGAAAAAAATATATTAAAAGATTTTTCATTCTCCATTTCCATAAAAATATTTTTTGATTATTAATTTACGCCATAAAAATGTCTTTCAAATGAAATTTATATTATTAATTTATTTTATTGTGTGTTTATTCTTTATAATAAAGCTAACTACGTAATAAATTATTAAGAGGAAAAATAATTAACGCTTTCTTTCTTATCTGTTTAGATAAAAAAATTTTCTTATTAATTCATGGGCTTAATGTAAGATTATTTTAAATTATAATGGTTAGTGATTATTTTGGATATCGGTTAAAATTTTAAGCATTGGTCAATATATCATGAAGTGGGCATTGGTATCATTTCATCATTATACGTATTCATACGAATAAAAATATTCTTCCATTCTTTGAATATTCGATTCAAAAATTTTTAAGTAATGAATAGTTGTGAATTGTGATATGTTGCTAAAGGTTTGAAATTTATCAATTAGAAGTCTGCCCAGTCTAAAGAATTTTTGCACTAACCCGTTATAGTTTTTTTTAATTTCCAAGGTTGACGAAAAACGTTAAATTTTTTTATATGAATTTTCCGGCTATCACATTTTATATCTAATTTTTCGCCAATGTCAATTAAGGCGCTTATATGTCTCTTCTTTTTACAAAATCTTTTTTTTATAATGAATTTACTATATTATTTATAGATAGTAAGACAGCTCATAAAATACAAAGAAAAATAAGCGTGTTTTTTAAATCAAGATGTAAGTTTGAAATTCGAAAAAATATATTAAAATTTTAATGCCTCGTGATGGCCTATTAAAATTTTACGAAAAATCAGAGACCTGATATTTTATGTAAAAATTAGCTGCCCCGGCCCAAATAATTTGTAAGGACAAATTGCCCGGCCCGTTTTAATTTTTTGAATTTTCTTTATCCCATGGCTAAAATATTTTAAACAATCATGCACATTTAGTTAGCTAAAATTGCAGGAACTAACCTTCCACTGACAAGTTCAGACCAGGCTGGACGAAAATAGACAGAATCGGATCTAATTTTATTTTAAATTAGGGCTAAATGGACAATTTAACAGACAATGGAAAAAATGTCCTCTAAATTCATAAAAATATTTTACTTTGTCCAATTCCCATTGCTTGTAAAACTACCATGCTCTTAGTGTTTATAGTAAGATAATGGTGCTTAAATTTTTTAAAAAAAACTTTATTTGATAATATATTTTATTGTAATTTTTGGAAAAAATCAACAAATTTTTTAAATTTAAATATTTTATACGAAGTTTTGAATTATTCGATCGATTAACGAGAAGGATTTGATTTGTCAAATATTATTTTTTAAATTATTTATAAAATTTGAATCAAATATAATTATTAATTCGTTATTCGGTCTATTTTTGGGGTAGGTCTATTTTATTTATTATCTTCTTATAAAAATTATATTTTTTGAATAATTAATATCAATAAAATATAAAGACTGTTATATGCTTAAAATTATTATCATTCTCATTTTAAAACAGAAAAATGTGTCCGAAAACTGTCAATCTTATTTTCTCATCATTTATTTTTAAATTATAGTTAGCTTTGATTTTACTTTATATCTTTTTTATGTAGGGAAAAAATTTGTTTAAAGTTAAGTCAAAATGTTTTTTTCTTATAAAAACGTTTCAAAAATTAATTTATAATAAGAAAATTTCATAAATGAGCATAGATGAGGGCCCCAAAAAATATTCTAGTAGAATCAATATTTATAAATTGATTAAAAAATATTAAAACAAACAAATTTTATTTTCTATCTGTCATTAATTTTTATTATTATTCGATTTGTTATCACTACTATTCGAATAATAAAAATATGGTCTACATACGCTTCGCCTATGCCATATCGCAAAAGTGCCAAAGGACCAGACTCAAATACTCAAATTATATGATAAACTAACGAATGTAATGGTATATTGGAAAATTTAATTGTAAATTAGCAAAATACCGTTTCTAATAAAAGTTCCCTAAGGCGCCAAAGGAAATAATTTAATCTCAAATTATATATTAAATGAATAAATATTGTTTAAATGTCATATTTTAGCAATTTTAAATGGCTATAGGCAAAGCTTATAACCTAAAAACTTTCAGATATTAGTATTTTCATGTCAGATTATTTATAACATAAATATCTAAATTATACACTACAAACAATAATTACTTAAAAATATTATTTGGGGCAGTTATTTTGCCCTGTTGGGGGGGGGGGTGTGCGATATGAATATGATGCAAGATTATGCTTGAAATTAAATTTGCTAATTTTAATTTAGTTTCCTATTTTCGCTTATGTTGGTTCCCATTTTTGCTAAAAAATATAAATATTTAATGGGTAATATTATCATTGGCTTGGTGGAAGTGTGCCTGCGTTTAGGAGATATATAATATCTCTTATTCATTTTTTTAAAGTAGCAAATGAGTATTACCCGCAACTCGAATTAGATATTATAATATCAAAATTAGCCCAGCTACTATTGAAAGCTACTCAAAATTTAAATAAAATTAAAAGATTATAAATTTTAATTATTTAAAATCGAATTAATCTATATTAACCTTCCTTTACACATTATATCTTGTAAAATTTCATATCAAAATTAAAATATATCAATTTTAACTTGACTAAAGAAATTACATTAAATAAAAAAACAATATGCGATTTTATATCGTATTAATTATCCCATATACGCACAATTATCTTATTTTTATATCCTAATAGTCAACATTGCAGATATGCTACGATTCAGTTTCTTATTAGGCTGCATTCAAAGTGGAGACGGATCCGTTCCGTCAAAAGTCAATCTCATTAAAAATGATATATATGTTCATAGTGCTTCCGTTCCGATACCTTCCGTCTTAAAAAGGATCCGGCAAATTTTAAAGTCAAAACATTTTGACTTTTTGATCCGGCAAATTTTATAGAGCTTTATAACGTTACTTATAATTTTTTAAAAATGAAAATCAATATATATCATTTTTAATGAGATTGACTTTTGACGGAACGGATGTAAAAAACGGATCCGTCTTTTGAATGCAGCCTTAGATTGATTTATTCGAGCGAATTCTTTAGTCAGACTATAAATAATATTTGAAAAAATTCATTTTCATCCGCAGACCAAAGTTTGACCATTAATAGAATTAATTTTTACTGTAGTATAAAAATGATATTAATTTTATTTGAGAATGTTTTAATAAAAATTATAAACAAATATAATCTAGATGATATCATTTTTTGAAGTATTTATAATTTATTTAATACAATACAATTGTATAGCTTTTTTTAGTGGCATGGTCCTTTTTAAACTCAGAATCGTTTCAAATAAATAGTTGGCATTAAAAATGATAACTATTTGTTTGAAAAAAGGACTAGTAAAAAAAAAAGCTACAGTCGAAGACTGTAAAAAGGAGAGTATGGAGGCGGAGCCCCAATTTTTTTTTACAAAATCTGTTAAATCTAATCATTTTTGGCATCCTGATTGTGAAATATTCCATTCAGTAAGAAATTTTTCGCACAGATCAATCCATTCATTTTTGGCAACCCTGATTGTGAGATATTTCAGTCGTTAATTCGGTAGAACACTAATTAAACTAAATATTTTCGCCCAGAATTCTTTTATATGCATTATACAGTTAGACAAAAATTTAATCATTAATAATCTCCCCTCTTATACATTTTGGAATATAGGTCTCCATATTTCTAGAATAATAGCATCCTCTATGAAACGAATTAGTTCTTCCTCGTTATTGGGATTTTGATTTCTGACAAAATCCTTACAATAAGATATGGAGTGTAAGGTGATAAATAATTTATTGTATACTCTCTTCTTTATATCGCTTCCTTAATTGTATGGTTAAAATGAAATGGAACATTATCCTTCAATCATATTCATCATGCTCCTTCTTCAAAATGATTTTATATTTCATTTACAAAGTTGGTAAGTATATAACGTTGCAGGGGCCATCATCTGAATATTCCTGCAATTGTGAGATCAGCAATGATAGTATAATTCATTGTCTTTATCACTTGAACATTTTTAATAGCCTTTTTATTTATTTGTGAATATTCATATAACCGCCTCATTGATATTGAAAACCCGCTCTCATCGATAAATATAAATTTTTCTTTCATATATGCTACATCTACAAACCAATTCGCGTATTCTTTGCGAATCTCGATAGATTATTTTCTCTAATTGAACGTTGTGATACTCTTTTAAAGCTATAAATCCTGAGATTAACCTTAATACCTTATTTTTTTGATATTTTTACATCATATCTCTCTATAATCATTTCACATAACCCTTTTAAGGATAAAGTGCAATCCAAAATTATACAATTTAATATATATTCTTCTTGTTCTTGATCTAATTTCTTGCATGCACATGAATATTTTATTCCATAGATGGGAGTATTTAATATTTGTCACTGCTTTTTTAACGCAACAATTATTAGAGCTTTTGTTTCACTGTTAATGTTTTTACCCTTGTTTATACCATATCTGCATAATTTTGTTTTTTAAAACAAAATTTCTTTTTAAATATATACTCAACAAATGGAAAATGACAAAAAAAGATTATAACATTTACCTCATTTTACGTTTAATTATTCATAAATCAAAGAATATAGTATTAAAATAATTACAAAAAATTATTTACTTGCTCAAAAATATTGAATGCTTTTTGCATAAATATTAAAATTTTAAAAATAAGAATTTAAAAATGATTATAAATATTAATTTACATATCTCTTGGTATTACAGTTCAAACTTATTTAATTTTAAAAAGGTTCATTATAACCAAACAATTAATTTAATTCTATTGTAATTAAATAATTTGATATGTAAAAAATTCTAATAAAAAAATTGTCTGCCATTGAGAAATAAAAATTAAGTGAAAATTAAAAATAATTACGAAAAAGCATTATCAAAAATGAGAAGAAAAAAAATTGAGAAAAGATCAGAAAAATAAAGATTAAAAATGACTTAAAGAGATTGAAAAGGTTGTTATGTAGGATGAAAAAAGAGGAAAGAATTAAAAATTGGAGTAGAAGAAGTGAAGAAAAATAACAGGAAAAATTTATAAATTATTTTTATATAGACAAAAGTGAATTATCAAAAATAAGAGGAAAAATAAATTGAGAAAAGATATAGTAAGAAAAATAAAGTAAAGAAATCGCAAAAAGTTAGAAATAAAATATGAAGGAATGATAAAAATAAATAGAAATTTAAGAAAAAATGACAAGAATTTTTTTTAAAAAAATAACAATTTTCCTTTCCTTTTGGGAATTTTCCTTTTTTAATTGACACTTTTACTTTTTTGATTGAACCTTTTTCTTTTTTGTTTGACACTTTTCCTTTTTTGATCAGACTTTTTTTTATGTCTTTGGAACTTTTCCTTTTTTGATCGGGCCTTTTTGAGTGAACCTTTTCCTTTTATGATTGACCTTTTTCCTTTTTTGAATGGGAAACCGTTTAAGCGAATGCAATAAAAAAATATGAGAAACAAAAAATAGAAAACCAATTTTTTTTAAAAATATATGGATATTTTATTTATTCATATTATTCTTATAATCACAAGGCTCTATTTAAGAAAAGGAAGAGGCGATACTCGTATTTGCAAAATATATGATTCTCCTTGTTTGCCAGAATCTGAAGCCATGTTTGCAATTCTCCCCGATGGTATTGGTGACGTTAAAGATTGAATTTTTTAAAATTATATTCTATTGACCATTTTTATATACCAATTCCATGTTTTATTAATAAATAATAATATATTTCATATTTGATAGATGTTTTTTTAGAAAGATATCAATCAATATTTTATTATCACGTAAAGTGCAAATTGAAAATTCTTATAGGATTTTTTAAACAGCATTATAGAATGGGAAAATTTTTATTAGTGGCAATGTTGAATAAAAATAAATTTAATTAAATCGAATGAGGAATGGTAAATTAACTTCAAAACCATATTTTACAACTTTACTTTATATCTAAATATTTTTTAACATTAACATGATTGGTTGGATATTGATGTGCTTTATAAAAATGAGCGTGCTAATAAATACTTTGTATGCAAAAAAATATTATATTTGAAGGATGTTTACCTGTTTTTATTTGTTACTTAGTAAAAACTTTTTAATTCTTGAAAAGGAAAGGGACACTGTTAGTTAACAATGTTAGCAAATACAAATTTTAGTATAATATTGTTATCATCATTACCTATATTTTATTTGTCTCTCCTAAATTTTATTTTGCCATATTTTAAATTATTTTCGATCAGATAGTCGATTGGATATATTATATAGAAGTCTGCAATTCCCGGCCTATCCCTTTTTTATTTTGATGTTCAACTACATATATTTCGAATTAGGCTTTGTTTTTAAAATACAGACCAGGCAGGGCAACCTTAGTAAAAAGTCTCCTGCAATTTTTACTCCTTCTGCAATTTTAAAATTTCATCAGTGAATTTTGGAAAATCAGAGCCTTTTTACCGAATAGAGGCAGCACAATGCCAACCTAATACCGGTTGGCTGTATTTCTTTTTGTCATATTTTACACAATTCATGTAAAAAAGCCGTGAATATATTATCCTTTGACGTTGAAATTATTGTATGGAGTGTATTTTTTAGTTTATCTACTAAGCAGGTAATCGAATTAAAAGATTAGGTTGACTGGTATGATCTGGAATGATATGAATTGTTATACCATATCCCCATTAGATTGCTAACTCGAAGACCAGCCATTGATATTTTAAAATCATCCTTTAAAAAAATATTTTTTAAATACAAATTATAAAATCCTATTTTAAAAGGGATTATTTTTGGGGGTGGAAGGGGCATATTTAGGCTTGATTTCACATTTAGGGAGTAAGCTACATGCTGTTAATATGCAACTGAAATTTAAAAATTCATTGTTAATAAGGATTAACAAAAAATGGTACAACTCTGTTCATCTTTACAGCTTAAAATAGAGAATAAATTTGTTTCATTGTAAATATAACCAATTGGTAGCTTTTTAAACGAAGCCGATATATTTTTTAAATTATTTTATAATTAAAATATGATTTTATTAATTTGATTTATAAATGCATTGATATTATGCACTGTTGTTAAAAGCTACTTTTAAAATTAGCGCACTATTGCTACCGCTATTTTACAAAAAAGGTAGCGCGTTATTAGCTACTTTAGAATTTTTTTAAAAAAATTTTTTACTTATCTCTATTTCCACAAATAAAAATATGACTAAAATTTCAAATATATATAATTTATTTATTTTTTATTGCATCTCAATAATTATAACATTACCATTGTCATGCCCAAAACTAGAACAACGATCAGAAAGTATAAGCTAAATTCGTTCAACACCAGCACGCAATGCAGTATTAAATTAAATATTCATATTTTATATAAGAAAAATCATCAAAAATACTCATTTGAGTATTTTTAGATTTTAACTTTCAATAGTATTACTAAATTTGAAAAAAAAATCATCTATAAGTAGGTAGCATTTTTGATCTGGCTAGGGTCAACCTAAAATTATAATAGTAATAGTTAGAATAAAAATTATGTAGGGGAGAAGTGGATGGCTATATTTGCCAAATGGCCAAGCCACCACCTTTAACTTTTTATCTATTGAACCAATTCCTCTCAAATTGGTTGAAATGTGAGGATTTGAAATGATGATTTTTTAGCATGTTGATAAATATAAATAGATGAGTAGTTAATTTTAAGCATGTTTATCATCCAGATAATAATTTATAAAATATAATTATTAAATAGATGAGCCTGATGATAAAATGAAATGTTAATATTGATTATATTGTAATTTTTAAATTATAATATAATCCTTGAATAATATATTATGGCCAGTTGAAACATATCATGGTTGGACTGGACTAGAAAATTAACTTTCACATAAACTTATCTAGCTCAAAAACTATTATAGATTATTTGATTCAAATTTTATTTTAAAGATTAAAGATTGGGCTACACCTTCTAAATCGCTGTAATGAAAAGGCACTAAAAATTGGGAATCTCGTTTATATCTCAGAAAAAGTTAATTTGAAATAAATATTAATAGATGTTAGGGAAGTTAACAATTGTATTTAAATTTAATTTTTAAAAAATCGGTAAAATGGAGGAAATATTATGATTGATCCCAGAATTGGGAATATTGATATTTTCCTCATTTTTAGCGATTTTTAAAAACTAAATTTAAATACAAGTGTATACTTCCTTAGCATCTATTAATATTTATTTCAAAACCTTAAAAATTTTCTAGAGCGAAATTCCAATTTTTTCGATTTAATTATACCAAATTTGTTTGATATATTACTTTTACATGTTTCCTCGTTGACTGCTAGTCTCATTTGTTGATAAAACCTTCCGGTACATCTTACAATGAAGTTTATACCCTGTGCTAATTTTTTTTATCGAGATAAAATTATTTTGCGAATATAAAAGGAAATTCCATATTTTCATCATTTTTCAGGAGGAAAATTACTTTGTCGATATGATTTGTAGCAAAATTATCTTCAATATCAATCTCTATCATCGATATTTTAAAAACTAGGTTTATAATGAAGATTTCAAAATTAAATAAAATAAATAAATTATGATTTTAGAATTAATTATAAAGATATTATAATAATTTCTATGCATATTTATTATATTAAATTGAACGCTATTTTTTTTTAAAGTAGCGCGCACTGATATTATGACGTTAGAACAAAACCCACCTATTATTATAAATATATTAAAGAACTGAAAGATATTTATATCTTGATTGAGGAGATTGTTATACACTCTATTCTTTATAATTCTTTGGAATACTTAATGGTCAAAGCAGAAAAGAAATGGATTCAATTTTTTCGTAATAACGATAAATGTGCATGCTTGAAAATAATATACCAACATGCATTTTCCTCATTCGAATTCCAGAGCCCATTTTTAGCCTGATGAGGATGGCATGGAGAAAGGTTAGAAATAGGATTGCTCTGACAACAGTCGAGGCCAAAATTATGGTTAAACAAAATTATAATATGTCCTGCAATCAATTTTATAAATTTCTTAATAACGACAGAGATTTAAATCGCAAATGAAATATGTTGCAGCTGGCGTTTTTATATTATATTTTATAAATACGTCAAACATGTTTTTATATTGATTCGACGATAAATTTACAATTTTGTTTATATAATAATTATTAATTAATTTTAACTGAATTTAAAGAAATTACAATTCCCGAATTATTACAATGGTTACCTTCTAATCAGGACTGTGAATTTAAATAGTAAGTGCAGATAAATTTTTTACATTGAGGCTATATTGTCATCCTACAAAATTCTGGGACAAGTTGCCAAATCGGAGGAGGACCAAATCTAGGGCATTTTAGTTTCCACCATTTATTCTCCTTTGGATATAATAAAAACATAAATTTGGACTAACAAAATAGGTAGGAGAAACCGGGGTATAGCGATTGATGGGTTTAAAATGTTAACGCGAATAACTTATTACCCCTTACGCATAAAGACTCTAAATTTGGTGTGAAATGTATTTTTTACATGTTTATCTTTTGAAAAACTTTCCCGTTTTCACATATTTGCCAAAAAACCGTTTTTCCTCCAATATTATAACACCCTTTAGTTTTTTTTTGCTTATAGCAAAATATATTAAGGCTCGAATTTAAAAATTTGGATACATGTCCTTTAAAGCCATAGCTATAAAATAAAATTTATCCGAAGTTTATAGTTTAACTAGAAGTCACGCAATAACAACTTGTAAAATATATATCACATTGGGGTAAAGTTGTTAAGAGTAAAGCGATTAAAATGCTGTAAAAAGTTAATTTTTAAATATTAACGTTTACACCATATAAAAAGAGATTTTTGAGCAAAAATAAACATTAGTAAATAGTTTCGGTGTTATTTGGAATAAAATTTTAAGAATAGTCGCAAAGACGAAGAATAATTGAAATCTGCAATATGCCTAAAATGGGCAAAATCAAAATGTGATGTTTTTGATATAATTTTTTACATTCCGGTATTGTACTGATTTGCTTATATTTAAAAGTGATGAATAGATGTCAAAATTGGAATATTATTATTAAACCAATATAGTTATGTTCAATTTTTTTTAACCAACCCTAGGTATGGTGTAAAATGACAAACCTCACATAATTAATCAAAGTTCCTAAAGAGCTACACTTTTTTAATTTTATAAATGAGGGTGATTACATAAAAATATATAATTTGTTCTGTTTTGTTAATGTTTCAATGGTAAAAATGCTTAATACCAATCATTTTACCCAGGTCTACCTATTAAGGATTTTAGAAATAAATAATTAATTCTTTTTAATAAATATTTTTAAAATAATTATTTTTTTTTGGAATAACATTTTTTTTGTAAAAAAAATAAAAATTATTTAATGATATGGTTTGTTTTTAATAGGAGGCATAAGGTTATAAAGATGCTAGTTTCTAAGGGTAATTTGTATAAAATAATCAATATGAAAGTTAATGAATTGGATTGACCAACAATGGAATTATGGCTATTTGCTTTTTCATATTATATGTATATCCTTAATTGTTTTTCAGCTATTAATAAAATTAAGAAGAAATCATTTTTAAATCATATGAATAAGGTAAAAGAAATCGAACTTTTGATCAAATTTCAGTTTTATTAGATAAGATTTAAATTTTTCTAAAATAAAAAGGATGGTCTAAATTTAATTTTAAACAAGGACTGAAATCGTGAACCCAGTATGGGTAAGAAAGTCCAATGGGAATAATTTAATTAAAGGGCTATTGTGAATATAAACCATTTTAAAAATTTCATGTGTATCAGGATATAAAAAATAATTTAATTAAGTTAAATTAGTGTATCTAATAGATAATAC